AGAAAATCTTACACCCATGTCACATATACCCGGCGGTTTCCTTCTAGACGCTTTTAAGCAGTGCAACTCATACAGAAAAATCGGCCTCGATCAATTTTAACTTCTCTGATTTACAGACGTCACAATCAGTAAAAACTTACGTAAATAAACTTAAACTGATCCAGGACGACGATCGCCCTGATGATGGAAGCAGTAAGAACCTCCGAAACGTCGGTGCTACCAGATTACACTGAGTAACAAACCCGCTGGCCGAGTAAGTAAACAATTCCATGGCCAGTTCTTCGTTTCGATTATAAACAATCGGAATGTTCATCGCCTCGTTCACAAAAGACCGCCATCCGGTAGTGTGTTGCGGGTTGTGTGAACAATACTGACAAATTGATAGTTGTCATTGATAGTGTTTTGTTTTCTGTGAGGTCGCTACTGACTTTTTAAAATATTTGGATGGATTTCGGACGTCACGAGCCACGAACTAGGAAATGCCTGACTACAAGACCAAGACATGGAACGCAGATGACACTTTCAGTCGAGATATTTTTCCATACGCTCCAAGCTTCACGGAATAAAAGTTTCTGACTCTTTGCGGAGAACGATGAAAGATTACGCACGTCTGATACAGTCTCACGAAAACAGAAATTTATCTGGGATAAACCGACTTCAAGGTCAATGAGATAAAATCTCGTCAGACACTAAGAAACACGGGTAAAACATTAAAAAAGAAATTTTCAGTCCACATTGGAGAGTAGTCACTGATGCAGACCTAAAACCGTAACTTACTCCTTAAACCTGATCGACTTCGGTTCTGGTCGTTTTATATTTGAACAATGGAACGCTTTCTTTAGGGCAATCTGTCACATGACCTCGCGCAAGGCCGGCGGCCATTGTAAAGATATCGGCAGTTTAAGAGCCAGATAACTGAAACCGAGCAACAGTATTTGTTTTAACGGTTCACAATTTGTGACGTTTCACCCTCGACTACGTCAAGGCGAGTAAACAGAACCTCATTTTCTGACCGGGGTAAAACACACCCGATTCCTGGTTTATTTAAAAACGCTGACAATCGGAAAATAACAAAAGACACTCATCTGGTGTTTTAAAAGTACATTCATCACGATTTTCAAAAGTACGTCGTTGGTTTTCATATTTTTTACAATCAAATCCTCGTTAACTGACTTACTAACGCATTATTCCTATATAATAGATCTTCCTTGAGAAGTTGATAGTCGCTAACCTGGTAAAGAAATTCTCACGGCTATTTATGGAGCACAGTTTTCATTTACGTGAACACAAGAATACGTCAAGTCGTATCCTGCCAGTAACGATTTGTTTTAACATCCATTTTAATATCATCTTCCCATCTAGGCTTACGTCTCTCAAATGGTTTCTTAGTTTGAAATTTTCCACCTAAATACATTTTAGAAGTGGTCATTATTTAAGGAGACAGATTAAGCTTAATGTATATCGAGATACGAAATCACACAAATTAACAGCAGCTTCTAAATTGCTGATATTTTAATGAGGCAAAAATTACTAAGACTTTGATCGGTTTGTGTCTGGAATGGCTAATATTCTCTAACGTAATCTTCATGTTGTCTCATCGAGATTTCAGGTTCTCAAGGCAGCGAGTACGAAGATGCCTGTCTTCTGGGATTTAACGCCGTTTAGTCCGGTATAAATCTACCGACGTTTCAGAGATACTGACTCCAGACTACACTGTTATTTTCATGAGACGTTGCAGCGATAAGGTTAAAAACAGTGTATTGAACAAGGTATGACAGTGGTAACGTTGTGTTCAGAAGCGCCCCGATTTAAATCTCTTACGGCCTGTCCCCAATGGTTTTCGTGGTTTTCTTCAGTCCCTCTGCAAATTTCGGGATAGTATCTTGAATTAGACTACGACCGCTTCCTTCCACATCCTTTCCAATTCATTATTCACTGTCATCCTCTCATTTGATGCTATATAATTTCAGCTACTGAGAAATGAAATTAGGATATATGAGATAACGTGTTCCTCCGAAGAGAGTACGAAGTGAAGATTGTAAACAGAGTAAGATTTATCTAAGACTGACTCACGATATGAATTAAATTATTCTCATCTTCATCATCATCTCGAGTCTTCCGTGTTCCAGCTCGTGATCACTGGTGATTTGAATGCGTGGTGTAAAAGAAATCGCTAGGTGTAGATTTTCACACGGGCAACTACGGATTCCGGGCAACAAATACGCGTGGAATGCCTGGAAAACGGAACCCAACAACACCTGAAACTTCTACAGATGAACCAGAACCTACCTCTGCGTTTACGTCGCAGAACTGATGTGACTAGGGAAAAATATTGACCGAGGAAGTTCACATTTTACGATTTTAACACGAGAAAGCATTTGGATTTAACTTACGTAGACGAAGTACGACTACACAGCTCACACTTTAAACCTATTTAAATTATTTTACTGGACATTACTCAGTATTCGGGAGGTCCTTGCTGTTTAATCCTTTAAAGCCCCGTGGTAACTATATGTACCAATTAATAGTTCTGCATTTTATTCACAGAATATTTTATGGGTTTAGTATGAATCAGAGAGTAAAGAGAGCGAATTCCTTAAATATCGTTAACCAGTTGATCGTCGTAATGGTAAAGTGTGGTGTTTTCTTTGAGGTACGGACTGAACCCCTAAATATTTAGAAGAACTTCGGCTTCTCGCAATAAGTATTTATTTATCTTATGTTAATCATATGAAACCCATACATAATGTTAAAGCAAACGGTACATATAGTTACCACTAAGCTTTATAAGCAGAAAAATGAAATAAGAACAGGGCATTCCAAATCTACGTAGGCAAATACGTAAACCCCCAAGTATTACGAAGTGAACTGTGTTACAGTATTACACGCTATACGAAGAACCAGTCTGTATCAGAGCTTTACTGCAATTTTAATTAATAATCACAGCGTGTACTTTTTAATTGGCATGAAGGTAATCGACCCAGGCGTTAAACCCGCTACACCATGTTATAGGACACCGGCTACCACCATAAATCTAGCTCAGTCTACATGACGCTTGTATTTCCGGCCGAGAAATGTTCGTCTTCGCACTTTTAATTAGTTAACCATCATCATCAAGAATAAATCTGTAACTCTTATAAATCAGCTGTCTCAGCATTTAGGTTTTGGAAAGCAAAATACATCCTGTTCCTCAGAGTTCACTGACGACGATGACGACTTTAATTTGGGATGTCGAGCCATGTAATCCGATAGGAATTTCCAAATATTTCAGATGTACTTGCTGTCTCCATCATCAGGGCGACCGAAACATTCCAGAAGACAGCCATTGCTGTGAGAACTTTAAATATCACACTGCGATTTCACCATCTCTAAGTTTAATTAGATTATGAAAGTTGAACAATTCTAACTTCACTGGCTGGAGAGAAGGCGAGGCAAACAGACAGCTACTTTGCTAGCCTGTCTAATTTCACTATGCTTTTTTACTCGCTACGAGTAAAATCTAAAAATGTGACTGAACGTCTTCTTAAGGGGGGAAAACCCTTGTTAAATGGCTCAAGTCTTAAAAAAAGTGTGTCGTTTAATTTAATATAAATTACAGACACGTGGAAAGATGGTAGTTGTGAGGCATGACAGACCCCAACGGCACCAAGATAACCATAAAGTAACCACAAACCGTAAAAATCAGATTATAAGTCTGCATTTCCAGTCTTAACCGATAACCACAGCGCCTGGTTCTCAGAGTCTGTCGTGCCCACATTAGTCAACAAATTAATTTGCCTTGGCACTACTCACAAAGAGAGACCAAAGTAGTTTAATTAGTAAACAAAGTAATTTGATGCTAATTAATTTATAATTATATAAAATTATTTTACGTAACATTATTCACATAAAAATAATTAGACGCAATCTGAAGTTGTTTCAGTCACAAAAAAAACAAACAATGTAATGTGATTGCATTTATAAGCAAAATGACTTGACATAGAGACATCTCAATTTCGAAATAATTTTAATGTAAAGATAACTGCACTGATAAAACAAATACGACATTAATATATTCTCATAAAAACGACGTAACTGTATTGACAGGCAAAGCAACTTGACGTAAATACATTCAAAACACGACATAAAATAACGTGAATATATCCGCATAAAAATAAATGACCTGACAGAAATCATGAAAAATGTACAATAAAATTTGTAGCAGTTTCTTAAAATTCCAGAATATTTAATTTTCTTTCGTTAAATCCAACAACAAAATAATTTTTCGTGGTAACAATCACTCATTTCGTACGCGTTCCAAAAATATAAGCGGAGGTTCAAGTAGACCCCTATTATTAATCGTGCTGACATATTTATACACCGAGATTATTCATAACGTATAAAAGATCAGACATCGGCTTTTCAGCACCGAAAAATCGATTTAGAAAAGTCTATTATTCATACAGGCTTAAGGGACAGGCGGCCTCGCTTAAAATATACCGCCTCAAGTTCTTAATAGTGATCAGTACACTACAAAGTAGCTTTAAAATACCGGTTTGAAGTTCTGAATTGCTACTTTATTCTTTTAAATTTCTTTTATACCAAACTTCAATATATGATCCGAATATTTTAAGAAGACGTTAAATGCGACTTACACAATTAGTCATAACAACCGAAACACGCACTAAAATATTCGCATTCATGGATAATTTATGAAGTGTCACAGTTACCTTATCAAAAAAGTCACATTTAACTAAACATAATGTAACATGCATAAACGTCACCGTTATCGTAAAGTGTTTCCTTTATTTAAAATAGCCTTTTTCCTTGATCATAATTTTTAGTGATTAAAATATTCCTTGGCTTTTAAATAAAATGTCAAACAAATTTAAAAATTAGAGACCCAGAATCTGATGTTTCATAACTGTCATTACACGGTTAATTTTTTTGTATTTTAATATTCACATTTGCTACGTTTTACAGAATCTAATGTTTTATAGTACGTATGACGGGGAGCTTACCTTCAAAAACACTGCAAAGGTTTTACTTGGTGCATTCCTACCCTCGAATTCGTCTGCCTGTCCACTTGCGAAAGGCCATTCTTTTACGCCAATACAACAGTTTTTGAAAGTACCTTATATATACACACACAAACACACCACTGCTGTCAGTTGCTTTTATTTGCACAGACTGATGACTGTTGAAGGAATATCACTTTGCAGTTTAAATTATTTTTATACACGTAACGTGTTAATTAATTTCTGTACGGAGATTAAAGACTAGTGAAACAATTTAATATCTGCTCTCTTCAGACCTTCCTTGAACACTTACAACACTGACAACGGTAATTTATATTTGTTGATATGTACCAGTAAACACGTTTCTCAAAATTTATCATTCAGTCAGTTTATTTTAGAAAAATGTCAGCGTCTTATACGTGTAACACGTGTAAATTTTGATTTTAAATTTCAAGGCCAGTAGTTAAGAACACTAGATCCAGAACAAGATATCTACGACAAAGTTACGAACGAAGAGCTTATAAAGAAAACACTCCGTGAAAGTTATTTTTCATGTCCACACGAAACGAAGTGTCACTCACAAAATTATTTTCCACTTGTCACTCACGTGTCTACTTTAACATTAAAAATGAGCGTACTTTGCGTAGGTAAGTCATTACTATTATTAAATTACTGTAGAAGAAATATAAATCTGTCATCGAGGCAACTTGATTAAAAGTTACCGGGTATCCTTATCAATTATAATTATTTTTAATTTGATTCTAGTTCAGATCGATAATTTTAGCCACGTACGTCAATTCGAGGCTAAAACGTGTATCACCTCTTAATATTAAACGCTGCTATGAACACGAAACGAACTTATCTGACTATCCAAAGAGTAATTCGTAACGTCACCACAAACTTCAACCACGTTGCTACACTAAATATGAAGGAATAGCACGTTAACTCGCTCGCAAGAATATTACAGGCAACAGGTAGGTTTGCGATTAACCTGCTTTCTAGCGGGTGTTGGTCAAAACTAACTGGACCGGCGAACCGGGACTTGAAGTTTCTTTCTTTCTTTTACCCCCCCCCCCCCCCCCACACCACGAAATTAAACCAATGTCTGACTCTTTCTTTCGTCAGCCTTCGCAGACGTGTTACTTTCTTATTTAACACACTGGCTTTCATTAAATTTCACAGTTTACTCGTGTCCAGAAAGGTAATTTCCTTTCTATACCTTCATCTCTTTTCCACGCTCTCTCTCTCTTCCTCTCTCTCTCTCTCTCTCCTGCTACCTGTCTCAAATACTTTTTAATTTAGCAGTAAACTAACGATAATACTGTGTATATTTAAAATCTCACGTCAAAACGTCCTTGCTTCCATTAAGAAATCCGCGAACATTACAAATAAAAACATTCTATCGTATGTCTTTCACATACGCCACGGTGGTCTAGCGGTTAGAACGCTGGCCTTGTAATCCTGGGGTCTCGGGTTCGATTCCCGGCGGTGCCCGAATTTATAACTTGTGTTGGGCAACACGGAGTTTTCCTCCGTGGCATCCCAATAATTACTCCATTCACACACAGAAGAAGGCAATGGCAAACCACTTCTGGATCATCTGCCAAGAACGTATATGAACAGGTCCCAGTCCGAGAAAAGGATGGAAAGATCCTGTTCATAAATATAAAAAGTCTTTCACGTATCTCACAGAAAGACAAGACGTCAAAGTCTTGAAGGTCCCTCCGAGAAGTTACAACCCTTAAAAGACCAACGTCGACTGTTCCTTCATTATTTTCCCAAGTCTCTCGAACTTAATTTAACTACAGACCCTTAAAAAATTGATCACGACCGCCTCCTTCCAAATTATTATTGATACCCCATGCATTATCATCCCTTAGATCTGGGAGAAAACCCTCAAATGCCATTTCATCCACAAGAAATCTTATTTAACGACGTCAATCCATCCGAGGAGAGAAGCCTAACCACCTGAGCTACGGAACGCCCGCTCGGCTGAGTGGGGGACATAAGTAATGCACAAAGAATTTTGGTTAGAAAGCATCAACGGGTGAAAGAAAAACCGAAACGTAGATGAGAAGATAATATTAAAAATTAATCTTAAGAAGAGTACGGTAAGAATATATGATCTGGATTCACGTACCTAAGAAGCCTGAAAAATGGTTTCTTTTAAACTGAATGACCTTTGGGTTCCAGAAAAGCAGCGAATTTCTAAACCATGTAATAAAATGTCAGTTTCACAAGACGTTAAACTAAAGAGACAGAAAGTTAATTTCCCGACCAGTTAGAGGTCCTTATAAGATAAGATAAAATAAAGACTCATCAGATAAGACACGAATTAAAGATAAAACTGACAAATATAAACATTAAATGAAAAGAAACGTTTAGAAAGAATGGCCCAAACCCGACCAATAACAGATATGTTACATTATAAATCGGAGGAAAGAGATAAATTGATAGACCTAGAATAGACGCATGGGGAAATTTAACTACTACAACGTATTGGCGCGTATCAATTTTGGTTAAAATCGGACACTTAACATAAAGACGTTTTTTCCTCTCATCTCTAGGGTAATTACTTGAACCTATTTATCGAAGCGAAAAATGTTTTGGAAAAAAAGTTACAGAGAAAAATTACGAATTCCTTCAATGCACAGTTATCTTTTTTCTTAAGTTTAAAAGGGGTTCATGATAATTAAACAAGAGACTTTATGCTCTGTCATCTCGTAGCTCGAAAACCGATACACTAATTACCAGGGCTGTGAAGTCGGAGTCGGTAAAAATGTACCGACACCGAATCCGACCTCGATATAAAATCTTAAGAACAATAACCATTAGAAGTATAATTAAATATAGGTTATAAGTCTAAAAAGTGGACTGATGATTCACGTAGTGGTGATTAAATCTCTTAAGGTGCCACGTACCATTTTAGTAGGTCTACCCTTATTAATACATATTGAGCTTTTATGAAGGAGTCGGGGTCGGGGTCGGGGTCGGGGTCGGGGTCGGGGTCGGGGTCGGAGTCGGAGATTTTAGTACGAATTACGATCAAATCTTATATATCTTTAATCGTTCGAGTTCTAAAGGGCTATAAATTGCGGTTCCAAATTCTGGGAGACAACGACCTAGAATCATGTTAGTGTAAACCGTATTAGCCTGGTTAACACTTCGAAAAGAGTTATTTATCAGTGAATGAAATCCGCCACTGTAACCAGCGTCCAGCAATTTTTTGGTCTTGCTTTTTTGGAAACTCCCTTCTGTTTCCACTCATTTCACTCTTCTCTCTCACGTCTCATTCAAAATGTAGTTCAACAGCTTATAAACATCTACTATCAGTTTAAAAAATATCTAACTGAACTTACTCACGAAGCTAAAAACATCTACCGTCTCCTATCCGAAAATTTAAATATTGAAAACAGTTAAAACTGTTATTTCACCTGTCTTTCTGGGTATAAAACCTGGTCCCTTTCCCACGTGGGAAGAAAAACAGAATGAGGGTGGACTGTGGTGTGTGTGAGAGCGTGTGGCTTTGTACAAAGTTACAAAAGTTCCGGAGGAAATTATCGGTTCCGTTTTCAGAGATCAAGTTCAAATTAATAACCACCTACAATACCACGTGGCGTCACAATCCTGAAGATCACAATCGAATCTTCAACTCCGACAGAACCTTCAAAAAAAAAAAGTCCTTGTTGACATGTACGCGAATCAACCTTCGCAATCCTTATTAATGTCACGCTGAACCAACTGTTTAATTACTGTAACTCCTACACGGGGGAGAGGGGGGTGACCCCACAGCAGACATGACTGACACACACACACACACAACATTCTGTATCCCTGACAATTCTGCTGACGTATTATTAATTTATTAATGCAATGAGTAGTTTGCAAAACAAAATTTTGCTGACATACTCTTGAGTATACAGGGTGGGTGGAAAGTAAGTAGGCATTAAATATCTTTGCATTGGAAATATAGAGGTTATAACCATTTCTCAAATGCCTACTTACTTTCCACCCACCCTGTAGGTGTCTACAAACACACTCGCTATGCTAAACCGATGCCACGAAACTGAACAGAAAAAAGTCGGGGCAAGACCTCTCGTAGTGCATCAGAACCGAGGGTCCTGGGGTACCGACACCGAATTTCACTTCTACTCCAAAAATACAGAGGTCAAGTCTCGGTTGTGACATTCGCGTCAGGCCTATGGTGAGAAAATGAAAAGGTTTCCTGAATTTCGCACACCCTGTAACCCAGATATTCCTAGTTCAGAATGAAAAGGGTTTAAGCTAGTTCTTTCTTATTCGTCTGGTCTGAAGGAACTGGTACCAGCTTCTCAGGTCTACATAGAACTAATTAAACTACTCCTCTGATTGGATCCACGTAATTACAGCTGAATAATTCTCATCAGTTATAATGCTCAGTGAGCGAACGAGCGGTAGTTCAAACCCTGCTATAACAATAGGTGATGAGGGATTCAAAGATCTGAAAGGCACATCAACTCTTAATCAGGTGGTGGATCTAATTACTAAGAACGACTAAGATTTACAGTTAACTCGCGAACATTAGCATCACATGAATTACATTCCACATTAACTCCACGAAACGAAGTTCTGCTTGAGTAGCTGATAGTCGCTTAGTTAATCAAGAACGTCCTAAGTTGTATACAACCAGAAGGTTCACTACTGTGTCCACAAGAGCCCGCTACTAGATACTAATCTAAGCCACTTTAATCCACTCCGTATAGTAACACTGCTTCTCTAACACCCACTGTAATATTAACCTCACATCGACAACTCAAACTATCACCCAGGCCTCGTGTCAAATGACGTGAGTTCTTCTGCTAAAAATATTAGTAAATTACCCGTGAAAAATGACGGTAAGATATAAAATAGGAAACTCAAAGTTATTAATATTATCCCTAAAATAGTGTAGTTGCGTCATATTGTGATTTGTTGAATTAAAATTAAATTATTTGGTTATTCCGTCAAATCACAATGTATTTAAAACAAGATAATTAAAATAATTAAAATATCATTCTGTGTTCCATATCGAATAATCGATTTACAATTGGAACTGTAATTTAATTTTAATATTATCCCATAAAACCCCAAAATCCATTAACAGCATTTTATGACTTCTGTGTTTGACTTTGTGGATTCAAGAACGTAATTTTAATAGCTTGCAAATAGAAGTTCGTCTTTCGTGAAATTATAACGTGAGACACAGGGAGCCCACCCCTGCCTGTTGCAGCAGGGGTGTACACTGTTTGTCTTTATTATGATAAAGCGTTATTCTGAATTTGCGTTTACAGACAAGAATTTCTGAATAGAACCAACGAAGGCCACATTCTACAGACCTATTTTGAGGCTGGTAAGTTACGAAATTCAGTCACGGATTTCAGACTACGCTAAATTTGTCGGGTACACCACCAAAGTGGTTTTTTATCTTTCGACATGTTTGCAATGTTACCATACAAAAATATGTCTAAGAAATTTATAACTTTTCGTATTATATCCTGTGGCCATACAACGTCATAAGCCTAGTTAATTATATTTCTATAAATTTTAATAAAATATTAATATTTTCGAAATGTATCGGTGGAGACAAATACCCTGACATGAAGGTAAAGGTAATTCCACCTCTACAAACAGACAGAGTCGTCTAAAACGATTACAAACTCAGTTAATTCCCTTTTAATAATAATACACCGTTCGGTTCGTACAGAACTTTATATGAAACATTAATAATTAACTTATTTATAACAAAACATCCTCTGCAACTGCTACATTGTCGCTAACAAAAGTAGATAAAATGTTTGAGTTACGGAATAGGACAGCGATGTGACTGAGAAGAAACATTAGCTGCTATTAGAGCCATCATCAGACAACGCGAGAGGTGACTTAACTATTTTCAGACTCGCCACCTGTTTTAATGACTTCCATATTAATGTTTCCCTCTTCCAAAACATAATTAAACTCTATTCAAGAGACCTC